AGACCAGTGAACCTGACATTGGTGGTCGGCAAGTTGTTGGAGGGAATCCTGAGGGACAGGATTTACGTGTATTTGGAAAGGCAAGGACTGATTAGGGATAGTCAACATGGCTTTATGCATGGGAAATAGTGTCTCACTAACTTGATTGAGTGTTTTGAAGAAGTAACGAAGAGGATTGATGAGGGCAGAGCAATGGGCACGATCTATATGGACTTCAGTAAGGCGTTCGACAAGGTTCCTCATGATAGACTGGTTAGCAAGGTTAGATCACATGGAATACAGGGACAACTAGCCATTTGGATACAGAACTGGCTTAAGGGTAGAAGACAGAGGGTAGTGCTGGAGGGTTGCTTTTCAGACTGGAGGCCTGTGACCAGTGGTGTACCACAAGGATTGGTGCTGGGTTCACTGCTTTTCGTCATTTGTAAAAATGACTTGAATATGAACATAGGAGGTATGGTTAGTGTTTGCAGATGACACCAAAATTGGAGGTGTAATGGACAGTGAAGAAGGTTACCTCGCAGTACAACGGGATCTTGATCAGATGGGCCAATGGACCAAGAAGTGACAGACGGAGTTTAATTTAGATAATTGTGAGGTACTGCATTTTGGAAAGGCAAATCAGGGCAGGACTTATACACTTAGTGGTGAAGTGCTGGGGAGTGTTGCCGAATTAAGACACCTTGGAGTGCAGGTTCATAGTTCTTTGGAAGTAGAGTCACAGATAGATAGGATAGTGAAGAAGGTGTTTGGTATAAAATCCGAAAAAACTGCCAGTGCTGTAAATCAGGAACAAAAGCAGAAGTTGCTGGAAAAGCTCAGTAGGTCTGGTAATATCTGTGAATAAAAAAAATCAGTTAACATTTCAGATCTGGTGACCCTTAGAACTGCTCAGGCATTTCGTATGCTTGCCTTTATTGGTCATTGCATTGAGTATAGGAGTTGAGAGGTCATGTTGTGGGTATATAGGATGTTGGTTAGGTCACTATTGGAATACTGCCTTCAGTGTTACTAAACAATGAACTTGCTCTCCAAGGTCTCTAAGTTCCTTGAAAGTGGAGTCGCAGCAAGATAGGATAGTGAAGGCAGCATTTGGTATGCTTGCCTTTATTGGATTGAGTATAGGAGTTGGGTGGTCAGGTTGTGCCTGTACAGGACATTGGTTAGCCCACTTTTGGAATACTGCATGCAATTCTCGTCTCCCTGCTGTAGGAAGGATGTTGTGAAACTTGAAAGGGTTCAGAAAAGATTTACAAGGACATTGCCCGGGTTGGAGTGTTTGACCGATAAGGAGAGGCTGAAAAGCTGGGGCTATTTTCCCTGGAGCATCAGAGGTTGAGAGGGGTAACCTTAGAGGTTTATAAAATCATGAGGGGCATGGATAGGATGAACAGCCAAGGTATTTTCCATAGGGTGGCAGAGTCCAAAACTAGAGGGCATAGGTTTAAGGTGAGAAGGGAAAGATATAAAAGGGATCTAAGGGGCAACTTTTTCATGCAGAGGGTGATGCATGTATGGAATGAGCTGCCAGAGGAAGTGGTGAAGTCTGGTACAATTACAACATTTAAAAGGTATCTGGATGGGTATATGAATAGGAAGGGTTTAGAGGAATATGGGCCACATGCTGGCAAATGGCACTAGATTAATTTAGGATATCTAGTTGGCGTGGACAAATTGGACCAAACGGTCTGCTTCTGCTGTACAACTCTGACTCGAAATGTATCTGAAATTATTTGGCATTTATATGTTTATACAGTCAGCTCACTAACTGATTAGAAACCTATTGAAAACCACTTTATTAGCAATTGTGAACTGGAAGACTGAAACCACAGAATGATCACAAGAATTGAAGTACTCAAAACAGACACAGCCAGCAATAGGCAAAATTGTCTTATTTCAAATATATGTAAAATGAATAAATCAAAGAGCAGGGTAAACTTTATACAATGTAATAATAGCCCAATAATCATCAATTAGAATGGATTCTGAACGAAAATCTTGTTTTACACAACCTTTGTTACTTTTTCAAGCAAGCAACAACCCAAATAGATTGTTGAAAGCTCTAAGGGTGATATTTAAACTCCCAATAGGGTTTTTGCAAAGTTCCACACAAAAGGTTATTTCCTATGCACAAAGCAAATCAGGGTACTTACTGTCATGGGTGATGGCTAGAAAGCAAAGGATACTTTGAGGTAGTTTGGCTTAGAGATTCACCTTTGGGCCTCTGCTGTTTCTAATTTACACCAATAACCTGCAGGGTTTCAGAAACTTAATTTAAATTGGTACCATTTAGATGATATCAAATAAGGAGGGGCATTAGAGTCCAAAGATGCAGGTTCAAAATTTATGAAGGAAATTGCACAAACTGGTAGGCAGAGAAATGGGCAGTGCCCCATTTAGAGAGGAATAATACAGTGCCTGTGGTACTAATGGGGATGTAGTGCCTCACATATTCCATGAATAGTATTGGAATACCTAAGAGTTGAGAGAGATCCAGTAATCTTAATAAGCTTGATGCTGAAATACCCAACAAATATGCAATCAATAAAGCCGAAAGAATGTTCAACTACGTGGCCAAAATATTAGAATACTAGTCTGAAGATGCAGTTATCAAACTGTGATCTGACAAGGGCACAGTACAATATCCAGTAAAGATTACCACAGGGTAAGACAGACATTTAAGTTTTCTCTTGTGTCAGATCAAAGTTATGAAGGAAATGGAAGTTTGGAAGAAGCCTCTCCAAAGTAACCTTACAGAGGAAAATGATGTAGTCAATGATATGTCTGGTAAATCTGTAAAATTTAAACTAATCGAGTATTGCTGGAAAAAAAAGACACTGGTTGTCAAACTTTCTGTCTTGCGCTCATCAGGACAATTTACAGGAAATACCAAAAGGGAATACAACATTTATATTGTGTGAGAAGGCAAAGCTGAGTTATTGGCAAGTGGATTCTTGATAGAGGCATTGCCATGGAGAATGCATCAGTTAAAATGACAGAACTGCCAAGCATTGTTTAAATTTTAAACTAGGCAGGTTGACTCTGATTGGTCAAGGTATTGCCCTGAAAAATGAACAAGAGAATGTTTGTCACCTACTTTTTTCAGTTGTAATAGGTGCAGTGCGTGTCCATGTGCTTTCTGTCTGCAACAAACAGGACACTGTGTGTTAAGAAATGTAGCTTTCAGTCCGTGCAGGTGTTCTAGACTGTGAAAATAACTGACAATCCTAAATTGGTTGTCAGCTTAATGCTTCACAGGCTCAGGATTTTTTGGCAATTGTTGTTCAATTGCAAATCATATGTAATGTTAGACATTATGCTGAGATTTTTTAGGTGCTAACTTATCAGCAAGGATATGCAGTTTGATGCAATCAGCAATGTTTTTGAAATTTACAGTCTACACAAGTATCACAGATGCACACAGGCAAACAATATCATAGGACGAAAACAAAAGATAATGGACTGGAAATTTGTTTACCTAATTTTGGGCATGGGAGCATGATTCAGGATCTACCATGCCCTAAAATTTATGTACCTGTCTCATTTCCTTGGGTGTAGTTGGCCAGTACTTGGAATGGTTCCAAATGTTTATCTTCCACAAACTTGTAGACATGGCACAGAATTGAATGGAAACAAGTACCAAGAAGCTTGTTACTGGAAGAACTTTGGAAAACATTTAAAATACAAACAAAACCATTAAGTTAATTTTCAATTCACATTGGGTCCAAGTGCAGGCAGAGCAGACAACTGCAATGAAGCAATTAGTCTTGACAGTATTGCTAATTACTTACAACCAAAGCAAATTGTTAATTTTCTATTTGATTACAAATGTGTAGGGATGAAAACAAAACAAAATATTTATGCCCCAGTTTGTTTTTTATCACCTGCAACAAATCCCAGAATGTTCTTCTTAGTTTGTGTAGTACACTCCAATCTATTGCAATTTTTAAGGACTCATCACTCATCACTCACCTATGTACACAATGCACCGGGGCTTTAACTATCTTGTATACAAATGTATAAGGATAGCCATACCCTTCATTATTTTCTCTCTTGCTGTCATGAGTTCAATGTTAAAATATATATGAACAGTACTCTGATAACTGAGTATATGTCCCCCAAAGCAGCATTGAGGAAAAGACGAAAATGAGATGGGATCTTATTTGGGAGGGTATTTAAAGATCCATGCTCAAAAATGCTGTATGTGCATTGTACTGGAGTCATCTATCGGGCTTTTATGTAGATGAAAGGATCTCCAAAACTTTCTCTACAAGGTAAAGCATTGGAGGACAGTCAATGCTGATGGAACTTTGCTCTAGGAGGAGACAACAGCTCTTTAGGAGAGCTATGCTTTTTAAACAGGGACATTAGCATAGCAATTATGTCACATGACTATTCATCCAGAAGCTTGACTATCTGAGGATGAGTTCGAATCCCAACTTGACAGCTGGGAAATGTAAATTTCATCAATAAATTAGGAATAAAAAAGCATTGTTGGGATGCTGGTTTGGTAACTTCCAGATTATTTTTAATACTGCTCACTAATCTCCTTTAGGAATGGAAACTCGAAAATCTTATCTTGTCTCGCCCATGTATGATGCCAAAACCGTTGAAATAGTAGGCAATTGGGAATGGGCAATATTGGATGCTGACACCGAAATTCCATGAGGAAACCGGAGAAAAGTTCATATACCTCCTGCCTTATTTTAATCACCTTTTGAGACACCCAAGACGTGCCGCGTAGTGTATGACACATTAGCTCCCTCACATCTCGAGTAAACATTGTAGTTTATTACGCTGATAGTTTGGAAAAATGCCTGGCTTGATAAGGGTCACTAACCTGCGTGTGGTAGTTCACAGGGTTAACTGAATGTGATGTTACAAGTAAATATTAACAGAATAAAAAGAGTTTCGTTCAGCTTCTGTCACTTTCTCCTTTTCTTTCCTTGTCCCTAATCATTGCAAGCTCTGCATTTCAGGCCTGAGCATTCTGTAGTCCAATGAATTTCCAAAGGCTCCTGTTGTTGTGCTGCTGGTTGCAAGTCGTGAAAGGAAACCTATTTCAAGAGCAGCTTGGCACATTTTCAGAGATTTTTCACTCTCTTCCTGGCCAGTTCTGGAATTCAGACTGTGAGAATAAAGAGATGACGGACATCTCGAAGCAGAATGGTGAGTGAGGAAAAATACATGCGAGACATTCCAGAATAAAGGATCCCTGTTACTGAGTTAAAGACCACAATTTCATTTAAGGATTGGCTGGAGAATAAAATGATCTGTATCTGGGAATGAATTACAGGCTGTAATCAAATCTCCCAATTCCCAGGAATTATTTTAACATTGCAATCTGATTCGGGAGATACAGACAATTGATACCTGAATTCATGTCAAAGTAAAGTATACCAGTGTACTAAAGTAACAGGAATGAAGCTGTAACCGTTTATAGTGTGCCTGGGAATGACTGCACAATCTGTTTATTACAAAGTAGAAACTAAGATTACATAAGGCTGGGGGTTGGTTTCCTTGGAGCAAAGGCAATTGAGAGGAGATTTGATAAAAGTTAACAAAATAATGACAGCCTCGGATAAAGCAGGCAGGGATACGTTCTTCCCATTAGACACTCTTAGAATGACTAAGAGACACAGATTTAAGATTTTGGGCAAGAGATGTCTGGGGAATTTTAGACTTCCCCAGTGAGTGGTAATGACTTGGGGTAGGGTTCTAAAGCCTATTGGATACTTGAAGAAAATAAACTTGCAGGGCTACAGGGATCGTAGTTGAACTGACTGAATTGTTCCCAAGGGGGAAACCAGCATAGACTCAGTGGGCCAAATGGTTGTTTCGTACACTGTAACTGATTCCATGATCTGAAATATTTGAATTTGATCCCACATTAGGATCAGAATATATCATCTGGTGCAATATTGAAGTAAGACTATATTGTCAGAAGTATATTCCATCAGATGAGCTATTAAACCAAATTTGTCCACTTTTACAGCCACTACTTAAAGAAGGTTAAGGAGCTTCTTTCATCCTTTAGGCTAGCATTCTCACTCAATCCGGAATGATTGAAAATCAATTAATCCTACCTCTCATGGCTGTTTGAAGGGTATTGATGTTACAGATTAGATGCTATATTTGTTCTGGTACCACTAACTGCATTCCATAAAGTAGTTCATTTTGTGAAGTGCTTTGAAATGCTTGTATGGAAATACAGTGGTCCTTTAAATTTCTCAACCAAAATGTTTCTTGCCAAATCTCAACATGCATCAAAAATTAGACCTTTTGCATTATTTCATCATAATATGTAGTTGTGTTACTTTGATCATGACAAAATTATAGGTAATACTTTTGAGTTATCTAATCCCCTAAATTGTAGCAAAACTAGAACTTTGTCCCTGATATCATTATGAGAGTATCATCATCACAAGGTTTCAAGGAGACTGCATTTCACTATCACCTTCACCGGCTCCTCAGGTCAGATAGGCATGGTTAGAAAAAAAGCTCAGATGGCAACTAGTTAGTTCTGGGCTTTATTTAGTCTCTTTTGCTTTGTTTCTCTAGTTATCTTCACCAATGAAACTCCATTTCCATTTTTTTAAAAAGTGTTTGTAATTCTAATATTTAATGAGGCTGCCTTGTACCTTCTGATAAAATGTGGTAAAGATGTTACTCAATATTATTTTATTCATCTTTTCCTGTTTCTAAACTTTGTCTTAAATAGTTTGAATGTTTTGTTCACTGTAACACTCCCAGCAACTGTTATGATCCGCAGCATCAACCTAGATTTATAGACAAAACTGCTTAAAGCAAAACCAAGCTTAAAACATATAAATGACAAGGTTTAATGAAAAGTCTTTTATAGCCCCTATCTCTCTCACTGAGAGGCATGTAAATTAACTAGAATACAAGAAGCAACTGGCTGATAAAATAGTTCCATCATGCCAGTGTTTCAGGTGGTTGAAATTAAGATTCCTTGCTAAAAGATTTTTGTGTATAACATTGTGACAATACTACAGCTTTTAAGAGGTGTATTTTGTCCTTTTCCTTAGTGAAGACAAGTTGAGACTGAAGTGGGGAGTGGTCTATTCCAAACCAATAAACAGCTCATTAGGCCTTGGAGTTTTTCTTTAATAAATGAAACAATAGAAGCAGCATAAAGGAGTGGGCTCAAGCTCCTACAACCAGGATTTTAGTTTAACTTTCAGTAGCTGTTGGGGTTTGGAAGCTGCTATAGCAAAATGCTTCAGTGTTCTCGCTCTCTGAATTTTCTCTTGATGTTCTTTTTTCCTGGTCTAGAGAATTGGGGAATCCAGTGCCTTCTGACTTTTAGGTGCCATGGTATGGTGACTTATAAACTTGTCACTGTATTTTTTTTGTAAAAATTCATGTAACAATAAATTACTATTTTAGTTCACTAAATTTGCCTTTGCCAAGGTATGTTTATGGGATGTTACGATATTGGAATAGTTGCTGTTTGGTAGTTAAATAACCTATTATTCTGTTAAATTATTCCAATTCTTCTTTCTTTTGTTAGTATTTACCCTATAGTGTAAGAATAAAGTGTGTTTTGTTTCCAAGTCTGGTAATTTGACCAATTGAATTGCACTGGAACACATACTTGCCTTATACTTGGCTTTTTTAAAAAGAAGAAAATGTTGGGGTCTAGGCTATCTTCTTAATATATTTTGAGGGGGTTTGATCTGGTCCAGAACCATCATAAGTAAACAGGCCTGTAAATTAGAGATAGTAGGAACTGCAGATGCTGGTGAATCCGAGACAACAAGGTGCAGAGCTGGATGAACACAGCAGGCTAAGCAGCATCATAGGAGCAGAAAGGCTGACGTTTCGGGCCTAGACCCTTCATCAGAAATGGGGGAGGGGAATGGGGTTCTGAAATAAATAGGGAGAGAGAGGGAGGCGGATAGAAGATGGATGGAGGAGAGGATAGGTGGAGAGGAAACAAACAGGTCGAAGAGGCGGGGATGGAGCCAGTAAAGGTGAGCGTAGGTGGGGAGTTAGGGAGGGGATAGGTCAGTCCAGGGAGGACGGACAGGTCAAGGGGGCGGGATGAGGTTAGTAGGTAGGAGATGGGGGTGCGGCTTGAAATGGGAGGAGGGGATAGGTGGGAGGAAGAACAGGTTAGGGAGGCGGGGATGAGCTGGACTGGTTTTGGGATGCGGTAGGGGGAGGGGAGATTTTGAAGCTTGTGAAAGTCACATTGATACCATTGGGCTGCGGGGTTCCCAAGCGGAATATGAGTTGCTGTTCCTGCAACCTTCGGGTGGCGTCGTTGTGGCACTGCAGGAGGCCCAGGATGGACATGTCGTCTGAGGAATGGGAGGGGGAGTTGAAACGGTTCGCGACTGGGAGGTGCAGTTGTTTATTGCGAACCGAGCGTAGGTGTTCTGCAAAGCGGTCCCCGAGCCTCCGCTTGGTTTCCCCGATGTAGAGGAGGCCACAATGGGTACAGCGGATGCAGTATACCACATTGGCAGATGTGCAGATGAACATCTGCTTGATGTGGAAAGTCTTCTTGGGGCCTGGGATGGGGGTGAAGGAGGAGGTATGGGGGCAGGTGTAGCACTTCCTGCGGTTGCAGGGAAAAGTGCGGGGTGTGGTGGGGCTGGAGGGGAGTGTGGAGCGGACAAGGGAGTCACGGAGAGAGTTGTCCCTCCGGAAAGCAGATAGGGGTGGGGAGGGAAAGATGTCTTTGGTGGTGGGGTCGGATTGCAGATGGCAGAAGTGTCGGAGGATGATGCGTTGGATCTGGAGGTTGGTGGGGTGGTATGTGAAGACGATGGGGATTCTTTTTTGGTTCTTATTGCGTGGACGGGGTGTGAGGGATGAGTTGCAGGAAATGTGGGAGACACGGTTGAGGGCGCTCTCGACCACTGAGGGGGGGGAAGTTACGGTCCTTGAAAAACGAGGACAACTGAGATGTACGGGAGTGGAGTGCCTCATCCTGGGAGCAGATGCGGCGGAGGCGAAGGAATTGGGAATAGGGAATAGGGGATGGCATTTTTGCAGGAAGGTGGGTGGGAGGAGGTGTATTCTAGGTAGCTGTGGGAGTCGGTGAGCTTGAAATGGATATCGGTTTCTAGGTGGTTGCCCGAGATGGAGACGGAGAGGTCCAAGAAGGAGAGAGAGGTATTAGAGATGGTCCAGGTAAACTTAAGGTTAGGGTGGAAGGTGTTGGTGAAATGGATGAACTGTTCGAGCTCCTCGTGGGAGCCGATACAGTCATCAATGTAACGGAGGAAGAGGTGGGGTTTAGGGCCAGTGTAGGTATGGAAGAGGGATTGTTCCACGTAACCTACAAAGAGGCAGGCGTAGCTTGGGCCCATGCGGGTACCCATGGCCACCCCCTTTGTCTGTAGGAAGTGGGAGGAATTGAAAGAGAAGTTGTTGAGGGTGAGGATGAGTTTGGCTAAGCGGATGAGGGTGTCAGTGGAGGGGGACTGGTCGGGCCTGCGGGACAGGAAGAAGCGGAGGGCCGTTAGGCCATCTGTATGGGGAATGCTGGTGTAGAGGGACTGGACGTCCATGGTAAAGATGAGGTGTTGGGGACCGGGGAATTGGAAGTTCTGGAGGAGGTGGAGGGTGTGGGTGGTGTCACTCTCCTACCTACTAACCTCATCCTGCCCCCTTGACCTGTACGTCCTCCCTGGACTGACCTATCCCCTCCCTACCTCCCCACCTACACTCACCTTTACTGGCTCCATCCCCGCCTCTTCGACCTGTTTGTTTCCTCTCCACCTATCCTCTCCTCTATCCATCTTCTATCTGCCTCCCCCTCTCTCCCTATTTATTTCAGAACCCCCTTCCCCTCCCCCATTTCTGATGAAGCGTCTAGGCCCGAAACGTCAGGCCTGTAAATTACATGGACACTTTCATCTAATTCCCTCCAGGTTAAAAAAAAAACCGCTGAGGTCCCTTTACTGTGCATGCTGTTTGCGTGTGTTGAAAGCCGAGCTCCCTTCTAACTGAGTCATCATTCACAGAAAGAGGGGTATGCTTTTCATCTGTTAACTCAAGACCACACCTATTCAGCAAATCGATGTGTCAATACATGTGGCAATTTTTCAACCTGAAACAGTCGGGGTGTGTGCAGATAGCCGTTTCCAAGATTTACATTTTGTGAATCTAAATCTTATACCACTTCACAATCTTCAGGGGAAGATTCAGTAACCTGAAACCTGATGAAGCTACTAAGTTCACAAAGATGTGATCTTTGCTCTGTGTAAGAATCCATGGGATTTCTCCTTAATTTAGTACTTCTCTTGGAGATGGACTTGGGATAAAAGGAGCAAAGTAGATTCTTTGAGATGACTGCATCATGTTCTCCTTCCAAAACGCACCCAGTCCTTCTTATGACTCATTTGAATCATGGCACCATGGCCAATTCAAAGATCCATTCATTGCAGAGTCAGCATGAGATACCCCTGAGGTATGTAGAACTTTAGAGGAGGCAATTGGTGCAGGGGGCTCTTTGTCAGTACAGCATTCTGTGATCTAATTGGATGTGGCATCACATCTTTTGTTACAACCTGTATGCCACTTTGTTCAAAGTACTGTCCATCACACTGGACACCGTTTTCTGCTTTCCTGTCACATTATGAGGAGGAATAGGCATTCATCTGAGTGGGCACCCTCTAAGCTGAGTGCAAGGATACAAAATATACTGGAAAGGTTTATGAGCTCAAATGTGTTTTGATAGGTTTTGCTCTTCCTTCAGCAACCTTATCCTCTCCCACTGACTCTGCTTTGTGTCCACCCAGAATTTGTCACAGGATTTCAACTATAATAGCCTTTGTCCCTGTGCTACATCTTTGGCACTGATTAAAGGTCATCTTTTGCTGTCAAGAACGGAAACACCATGCCAGAGTTCTGAGAGAGGCATGGGCATTGTGGGTTTCAGGCACACAGCTCACGATTATCGGAATTGAGGACTAGCAGCAGCCCATGAAGCAGGTGAAATAAGTGAGAAGAGTAGCTGTGAATTAGAGATTGTTGGATATTTGGAATGGTTTCCCTTTGCATTTTTAAAGCCCTCACCCAGGTGCTGAGAGAGAAAAGTACAAGTGGTCAGGAGATGCATTGAAGGCTCTAGCAGTGCTAGAGAACATATGTTGGCACAAGTGCCTTGACAGCCATGAAACCCTTCTGAGCTCTTTGTGGTGTCATTTACCACAAGATGTTGCATTCACCTCCCCTGTTATCTTTCTCTGTCCAGCCTGCACCCTGGGGCCTCTTACCCTTTGTGCCAATGAGATGGTGTTTCTTTGCATAAATTCCTGCCACCCAAACCATCCTGAATAAATCTGAAAGCTGAAATACCCTTGCTTCTTCCATAACCACATGGCACCATATCCAAGAAAGTGTGTGATATTAGTAAAGATTTTTTGTTCAATGAAGAGGCTTCTAAAAGTTTCAAAAAAAGTCAGTATAAAAATACTGTCCATATAAAACATCGTTTCCTCTTTGATTTCAGCAAATACTTTGGAGGCCTGGTCCTTTTTGATCCAGGATGGTTATCAAGAGATACTAAGCTGGTACTGCAGTGTACACGAGTGCTGTGAATCAGGAGATTGCCGGCTAATTAACAACATCACGGGTTTGTAGTTAAGATTAATCTGTATAATGTTAAGTGACAGGTCGATGCACCCAAGTACTAAGTGGTGTTTGGTGTCCTTCAGCTATGAGGAGCACTGAATCTGTGATTGAGTTCTACTTTTGAAAACCTATTCTTACCAAAGAATTCTCAACAGTATCTTGCAAATGACTGGCACTATGTGCGCTGATACTGATTTGAGACTCCACCAACTAAGATATTGACATCACCTGGGTTAGAGGGGCTTTGGTGTCCAGTAGTAACACCCAGGATATTTCCTGCGAGCACCACCGACATCCCATCCCTCCCTCAACTGTGGACTTTGACAGACTGAATGCTCCATGTGCCTTTGGTCTTCTGTTCATAAACTCCCTGGCCAAAGTGAAGGGTTTCTGTGGTTTTCCATCTCCCTTTCTCAGTTTCCTGCAAGAGGTAGCCAGGGAATGCCTTGGGGAAGTAGGGTCTAATCCTACCTTTAGTACCACTGAAGTGACCTATAGAATGTCACAACATGTCACAACACTCAACAAAATTATTCCTTTCTTTTACATAATCCCTGCCTTTTATAAAATTATGAACAGTAAGAAGAAGGATGGATCAAAAGTTTTCTTTCCTTCTTTCTATGTCCATGTGTAACTTCGCTACAGGCCAAAGCAGCAAGACTAAAAGCAGGAGCTTGTTGTTGAGTCCACTTTGATTAATGGTATGATCTGCCTATTCTGTACATTGCCAGCAGGCAGTCGCTGAGCGTGCACTAATTCCTTTCCAGTATTGGAAGTGCATGTTGTGGATGATATTTTAGAACTTAATGAGGGCATATAGCACCCAATAAACAAGTGATGCGGAGCCCAGTTCCACCCTAGTAATATTCCATTTGGGTAAAGAAACGAGTCATGAACAGAATTTCCTCAAAGATGGGAATGGGAAAATATATTAAACCTTGGGTTTGTGTTTTCTAAATAGGACTTGACCACGACCTGAACAAAAAGTTACATGGACAGCACCTGGCCAAGGAAGTTGTGGTAAAGGCAGTGAAAGGTTTCTTAGCAACCGAAAACCCAGAGAAAGCACTGGCACTTTCTTTCCATGGTTGGTCTGGTACTGGCAAGAACTTTGTGGCCAAAATGATAGCTGACAACCTGTACCGGGATGGACTGAGAAGCCCATGTGTGCATTTCTACATTGCTCCTTTCCACTTTCCACATGCCAACATGGTTGACATCTATAAGGTAAGCAGAGCTGAACAGAGTAAATGGATAGCCAACTCACTCAGCCATATGTCATCTGTCGATTTATTGGGTGAATGTCATTTAAATCTGCCAGCCAAATGAAAAATATTTGTTCAAGTTATTGAAGGAGCACAAGTGCAACTGGGGAAAGTGAAGGCATTCATATTGAGCATGAGGAAAAGGACAAAATGTGTAGTTTACCTTGGAAAACTATAAAAGGAAGTGGAGATTAAAATAATTTATTTTTCATTTCTACTAGAACATATTGAACCATGGGAAATGCCAGCACTCCAAGATTGCATCTGTTCTATTGATACATTTTTAATTAGGCCCAGTAGGTTTAGTTATATTGAAGTTTTTGGTAAATCTGTGTTTTTATTCAGCACATTTGCTAAATCAGTTAGCTATCAGTCTGTAGTTCTATGTGGGACACTGTGCTACATTGACACATTTGCCTTTTAGGGAAGGGGGAGAAGGGAAAATTTACATTTAATTATTACCTTTGAACTATTTAAATTAGACTGTGCTTAGAAGTCTTCCAACTTTAATTTCAAATTAATTGAAATGGAATATTATCAGCATTATTTTTGAATACATTACCCAATGTGAGGGACGTTTGGCACAGGGCTGATAATCAGGTGGCTGAGGCAAGTGAGTTCTGACATGATAGGCAAGATTTGAAGCCTCAAATCAGTCATTCAGAACTATGTTATCTTGAGGCTGTCTCCACTAATGTGACCTGTTTTGTTGTGACTACCATATTGAGTCAGTAATACACTTCCTCTCAGAGCCATAGAGCTGTACAGCATGGAAACAGACCCTCAAGTCCAACTCATCTGCTTCGACCAGATATCCTAAATTAATCTAATCCCATTTGCATGTGTTTGGCCCATATCCCTCTAAACCCTTTGTATTTATGTACCCATCCAGATGCCTTTTAAATATTGTAATTTTACCGACCTCCACCACTTCCACTGGCAGCTCACTCCATACACACCCCACCCTCTGAGTGAAAAAGCTGCCCCTCTGGTCATTTAAATCATTCCCCTCTCACCTTAAACCTATGTCCTCTAGTTTTGGATTTCCTACTCTAGGAAAAAAGACCTTGGCTAATTGCCCTATGATTTTATAAACCTCAATAAAATCACCCCTCCGTCTCCAACGCTCCGGGGGAGAAAAATCTATTCAGCATCTCCGTATGGCTAAAAGCGTCCAATCCTGGTAACATGCTTATAAATCTTTTCTGAACCCTTTCAAGTTTACCAACATCTTTCATGTAGCAGGGAGATCAGAATTGAACACTATTCTAAAAATGGCCCAACCAATGTCCTGTACAACTGCTACGTTCAACGCAGCGACCAATGAAGGCAAGTGTCTACCTGCAACTCCACTTTCAAGGAACTATGCACCCGCACTGTGGAGTCTCTTTGTTCGGCAACACTCCCCTGGGCCTACTATTAATTGTATAAATCCTGCCCTGATTTGCATTACCAAAATGCAACACCTCACATTTATCTAAACTAAACTCCATCTGCTACTCCTCGGCCCAACTGATCAAGTGTCAATGCATGAACGGGAAATGGACTGTGATACAAAGAAAGCGACTCGGGAAAATAAATATCTAAGATAAAATATTAAAAGTTGGGAACTGCCACATTTATTTATCCTCTCTTTCAGACTCAACTCCGGCAGTTTATCCAGACAGCTGTACAACAATGCAAACGATCCTTGTTTATATTTGATGAGGCGGAAAAGTTGCATCCAGGCCTCATTGATGCTATCAAGCCTTACATTGATCATTATGACCATGTGGATGGGGTGGATTTCAGAAAGTCCATGTTTATTTTCTTAAGGTGATTCAAAGATAAAACAGTAATGTAGCTTAATCAGGAAAAAAAAACACAAGACCTAGTACAACCATTGTTGAAGAAGTCTTTGAAATGAATTTGAGGTAATTGTTGGCTCATTTGGCAGCAACAGCACCATGTCCAAAATCAGCTGTCATTCTGAAGTAATATAAATGGCCCCAGGAGGGATTTCATTGGGTACAAGGTTTAACTGTGCAATGGTGGGCTTTTTTGTTGAACTGCATCAGTACGAAGGATTCTGTTCCACAGGAATATCAATAAAGGAATGGATAAGTGATCAATGCACCACCATATTTAAATGAACTCTAAATTTTGCATGACCACCAAGTCAGTAAATAGCTGTGTGTGTGCTGGGCAAGTTAGCATATGTTGAGACAGTTAACGTGAAGTCTTTTTTAAACCCATACAATGTTTTTGGAAGGATCAATCATACTGTTGTTTTCTTGGGTTAGCTGCAGTTCAGCCAGTGAGTTGGTGGGTGGATGAACCAGAAATGAATGACTCGGTTTTGTAGTCTACTGGACATTTTACCTTTGAGCTCCAGTGTTATTCAGTAATTCCAGCCAATTCTTGATTTGATAGTTATTACAGTAAACAAAATCAAACTAAATGAACTCCAAGTGCACAAAAGTCCACCGCCAATGTCTCTGTAGTCACAACGCTGTTTCTGAAAGTTGCCAACTCAAATCAAATTTACTGTTGCTAAATGTTGCGCAAAAATCAAATACTGTAGTTGCAGTGTCACAACATCATTTAAAAAAAACTGTAGATGTGGAACTATCTAGATCGATGCTATTGTAGCTGATTGCATGTAGCTCGAGATAACCTGCCTTGACACCACATTTGTTTTCATGGGAACTCCTAGTGCAATAGGACGTTTTGTACTGAGGTAATTTACAGTCTTATTATCCCTCCCCCAATTCACCCTCTGCCTCAACTCATCACAACTTGTAAACTTCCCTCCCTTTTTATCTACACTTTCCAACCCTCTTCTAAATAAACTCCCTTAGCTGTGCAAAATTGACAGACTGTATAATTATCCTCACAAAAATGTAGGCAGGGTTCCAAGTCTAAATGCCATCCAATGATTTCTATTGGAAAGTGTGTGTGGGGTAAAATTTGATTAAAAACAGAAGTAGGTTGATTTGTATTCACAAATACAACTTGTATTTCTAGTAATAAAACATTTGAAAGCTTAACTGGTATAAGGGAGAAGAAAATTAACAGAAGTAAGTCAGCAGGAGACTGGAACAGAGAGAAAATAGTGGAAGTGTCTGAAACCATAGATTTTGAGAAGGTTGAAGCTGGGAACAAGGCAGAAAGTTTCAGAAAAACAGTGCAGAGATAATAGAGAATGATTGTTTAGTTACTACCCGTAGGAAAATAAAATACTGTTGAGTCAGAACAGTGGAGAAGATTAAAAGTGCGATGAAGCCAGGAAAAATGGCCAACATTATAGATGCGCTGAAAGTGGCGAGTCACTGAGTTAGGGAGGGGATGGGAGATTAGGAAATGAGATTGAGTTGGTTTATCAATGATAATGTTGCAGTAAATTAGGCTGCACACTGACATTTGAGGGGGTTAAGTATAGTGGTAGGATGATAATATTAGCACACAGATGACAGCTATTACTCTGTGTACACTGTCAGGTGCATTTATTTAGAAGCTCTCCCACTCGAGGGCCAAACGTCAGGAAAAAAAACAGTAGAAATGACTTGCTACTGCTTTCCTGGGATTTCTGATCAAAGTCAAAGCTTTGGACAGTCAGATGAATCTTGACAGAAAGTTACCCTATTTATTATTGAGGAGAGGCATATAGAAAAGAATAAGGAGAAGGAGAGTATGAAGTATGAAATCATGGATCTTCAGAGGTGATTGCATGAATATGGTTGATGCTTTTGGGGAAGACCAAAGGGTGAGATGGAGGAATTTTGGGTTAGGTGGAGAGAGGAGGAAGAGGGCAGCAGAGTGATGACACTGATTGGCTGACATGGGGAAGATCTGCATCAGTGCAGTCACTGCAGTCACTGCTTCCAGAAGGTGGTTTGCGAGGGGCTGTTGTGAGGACCAGAAGCAAAGGGAAAGGAAGAGATCCAGGGAGCATCCTGGGAAGGTGAGTGAGGGAAGACCTACCTTGGGTATTCGCAGCAATAAGTAAGGGTAAGTGTTTAATAAATTTTCTTAAACAGCTTGACTGGGGATAGAAATGTCAGTCAGTGGGGTTAAGTGCTGCACTTGTGAAATGTGGGAGATCCACGACATTTCCAATGTCACGGATGACTACATCTGCAGGAAGTGCACCCAATTGCAGCTCCTCACAGACCACATGGATAGGTTGGAGCAGCAATTGGATGTACGTAGGAGCATGAGGATGGCGGAAAGCGTCATAGACAGTAGTTTTAGAGATGTGGTTAACACCCAAGGTGCAGGCAGATAGATGGGTGACCAATAGAAGGGGCAGACAGCCAGTGCAGGAATCCTCTGTGGTCGTTCCCCCTCTCTAACAAGAATACCATTTTGGATACTGTTGGAGAGGAATGACCTATCAGGGGATAACAGCAGTAGCAGCCAGACTGGTGGCACCACAGCCGGCTCTGTTCTTAAGAAGGGAAGGACAAAGAGCACTAGAGCAGTAGTTATAGGGGACTCTATAGTTAGGGATACAGATAGGCACTTTTGAAAAAGAGACTCCAGGATGGTATGTTGCCTCTCTGGTGCCAGGGTCCAGGATGTCTCTGAACAGACAGAAAGCATTCTGAAGGGAGAGGGTGAACAGCCAGAGGTCGTGGTACATATTGGTACTGACGACATGGGTAGGATGTGTGACGAGATCCTGCAGCAGCAGTTCAGGGAGTTAGGTAGAAAGTTAAAAAGCAGCACCTCCAAGGTTGTAATCTCCGGATTACTCCCTGTGCCATGTGCCAGTGAGGCTAGAAATAGTACAGCTCAACATGTGGCTAAACAGATGGTGTAGGAGGGAGGGTTTCAGATATCTGGACCATTGGGATCTCTTCCAGGGCTGGTGGGAACTGGAGGGGCACAAATATTCTGGCTGGGAGGTTTGCTGATGTCACTCGGGAGGATTTAAACTAGCTTGGCAGGGGTGGGTGGGAGCCAATGCAAAGGTGAATTGACTGAAAGGGAACTAGAGAATAGGGCCAGTAAGAGGTAGAGCTGGCAGGGTGTGGTTGCTGATCAAAGTGGGTCTGGTGGGCTGTAGTGCCTCTGTTTCAATGTGAGAAGTGTAACAGGTAAGGCAGATAAATTTAGAACTTGGATTGGTACTTGGAACTATGATGTTGTTGCTATGACAGAGACTTGGTTAAGGGAGGGACAGGATTGGCAGCTTAACATTCCAGGCAGGATCGAGGGGGATATAAAAGGGGTGGGGAGTTGCACGACTTGTTAAGGAAAATAGCACAGCTGTACTGCGAGAGGACACCTTGGATGGCTCGTACTGTGAGGCAGTATGGGTAGAGCTCAGGATCAGGAAGGGTGCAATCAATGTAAAAGTGACAGGATTGTCGTCGTGGGTGATTTTAACTTCCCATATATTGACTGGGACTCACTTAGTGCTTGGGGCTCGGATGGGACAGAGTTTGTGAGGAGCATCCAGGAGGGCTTCTTGAATCAGTATGTAGATAGTCCAACTAGGAAAGGGGCCATACTGGACCTAGTATTGGGGAATGAACCTGGCCAGGTGGTCGATGTCTCAGTAGGGGAGCAGCTTGGGAACAGTGCTCACAATGCAGTAAGCTTTAAGGTACTGATGGATAAAGATAAGTGTAATTGTCAGGTGAAGGTGCTAAATTGGGGGAAGGCTAATTTCAACAATATTAGGCAGGAATTGAAGAATGTAGATTGGAGGTAGATGCTTGAGGACAAATCAACATCTGGTATGTGGGAGGCTTTCAAGTGTAAGTTGCTGGGAACTCCGGACCGGCACGTTCCTGTAAGGAATGAAGGATAAGTATGGCAAGTTTCGGGAACTTTGGATAATGAGAGATATTGTGAGCCTAATCAAAAAGAAAAAGGAAGCATTTATGAAGGCTAGGATGCTGGGAACACACAAAGCAAGGGTGAAACATAAGGAAAGTCAAGAGATTAAGCAAGGAGTCAGGAGGGCTAAAAGAAGTCATAGATCATAGAAACCCTACAGTGTGGAAACAGGCCCTTCGGCCCAACGAGTTCACACCGAACCTCTAAGCATCCCACCCCATTATAACCCACCTAATCTACATATCCCCGAACACGACGGCCAATCCACCAAGCGTGCACATCTTTGGACTGTGGGAGGAAACTGGAGCACCCAGAGGAAACCCACACAGACAGTCGCCAGAGGGTAGAACTGAACCCGGGTTCCTGGCGCTGTAAGGCAGCAGTGCTACCACTGAGCCACCGTGCCACCTCAAAGTCATGAGCCAACAGGATTGAGGAAAATCCCAAGGCTTTTTATCCATATATAAAGAGCAAGAGGGTAGCCAGGCAGAGGGTTGGCCCACTCAAGGACAGGGAAGGGAATTTATGTGTGGAGCCAGAGGAAATGGGTTAGGTATTAAATGAGTACTTCGCGTCAGTATTCACCATTGAGAAAGACTTGGTGGATGATGAGTCTGGGGAAGGGTATGTAGATAGTTTGGGTCATGTTGAGATCAAAAGGGAGGAGGTATTGGGGGTCTTCAAAAACTTTAAGGTAGACAAGTTCCCAGGGCCTGATGGGATATACCCTAGAATATTGAGAGAGGCAAGGGAGGAAATTGCTGGGGCCTTGAGATAAATCTTTGTATCCTCACTGGCTACAAGGGAGGTCCCAGAGGATTGGAGAATAGCCAATGTTGTTCCTTTATATAAGGGTGGCAAGGATAATCCAGCTAATTACAGGCCGGTGAGCCTTGCATTAGTGGTAAGGAAATTATTGGAGAGGATTCTTCGAGACAGGATTTACTACCACCTGGAAATCAATGGGTGTATTAGCGAGAGGCAAC